CCACGTGAATTGTCACAATCCTCGGCTACCGAGCTTTAAATCCAGCTATCGTAGCCAGGGCTGGCTCCAGGTTTTTTGCTGCCCCAAGCAAAAAAAAACAAAAAACAACCCCCCCCCCGAAGTGCCTCCCCCAAAGAGCTGGAATGCCGCCCCTTGAAAAGGGCTGCCCCAAGCACATGCTTGGAACGCTGGTGCCTAGAGCCGGCCTTGATCGTAGCTCGTGCTTTGAACTCTAGAGGTTGGTCTGCGGTTCAATCCCCCCGGGTCAGCCAAGAGGGCAGTCGTCACACTGTAACATTCTACAAACCATTAATCCTTCAGTTTCCTGGACAGATAACCTATAAAAGCCAGGGAATTTATATTTACTTTGCTTCCCTCTGACAATGCTTAGTGGTGGCCAGGTTTCAAATGAGCCCTTTGAACAGTGGTTTAAAATTAACTAATTCAAACCGTGGTAACAAACCCGAACTCTACAAGTGCTTGGGCTCCGTCACTGGGTTAGGGTGTGGGGAGTGAAGGCGTTTAGGGCCTAACCTCATCTTGTCAAGGGGCTGAATGTCTTCAGCTCCCAGTGAAGTCGAAGGGGAATTGGTCACTCAGCCCCTCCCAGCACTGGGCTCTCATGCTCTGAGAAGGCTGGTGTAGTGGTTCCGTAGAGTTCATCTGCTGTAAGTGCAGGGGACAGGACCCAATTTGAAGGCCCTTCTGTGCCTCCTGCTGTTATTTCATGGGATTAACCTGAACTTCTGGTATGCAGATTAGACATAATGGGCTGAAAAAAATCTCTAATGCAACTCCCCTTAAATCAGTCATGTTACACTAGGGATGAACTTGGCCCATTACCTTTCGCAGGAGCTCCCAAAAGTAAATGCCATGCACTTTTCCTAGCCTTATTTGTTACTGTGGACTGTAACTGCAAAGCAACTGATTAGCTTTATTTTCATTTTATTTATTTAGATTTACATCATAAAAAGACTCCTATGCAAGGACTCTAGGGCCCCCAACACTTAAATGTACAATATAATAATGCCCCCAGCAGCATTACAAAGCAAACATTCTTACCAGAACAATACCTCAACTTGGCCATCTACAAAAAGCTCCTTTTTACCTCCATCGTTCTGGGAACATCTCCCCGGCTCTCCCCAAAACCCGATGAAAGGCGACTGAATGCAATTACTGCAATGTACCAGCAGATGGCGACTGGCATCCTACAAACTCCATACAGAGGAGGAGATGGAGTAGTGGGATGGGTGCTCTGCAGGGGGAGCGAGGGGAACTATTGAGACTTGGCAGAGGGGGCAACAAAACAACAATAACAATTAATGGAGGTTTCAGAGTAGCAGCCGTGTTAGTCTGTATCCGCAAAAAGAAGAACAGGAGTACTTGTGGCACCTTAGAGACTAACAAATTTATTAGAGCATAAGCTTTCGTGGACTACAGCCCACTTCTTCGGATGCATGCAATTAATGGAGATATCCCATCTCCTAGAACTGGAAGGGACCTTGAAAGGTCATCAAGTCCAGCCCCCTGCTTTCACTAGCAGGACCAAGTACTGATTTTGCCCCAGATCCCCAAGTGGCCCCCCTCAAGGATTGAGCTCATAATGCTGGGTTTAGCAGGCCAATGCTCAAACCACTGAGCTATGCCTCCCCTCCAGCCTGATCCTGTGTGCCGTGGTAGATGATCCAGCCCCCCTGGGTCCCCCTTTTACCACTGCCCCTGCCCCACCACCTGCACACAGCTGACAGGGAATGACACCTGGGGTGGAAACACAGATCAGCCCCACTATATTTCGATTGCAGGGCACTAGCCCCCCAGTCCCATTCTGCCACTTCTGTGCCTTACTATTGCAGAGCCCAGGGCCACAGGGTTCCTCTGAGCAACCGCCCGTAAGGACTATGTCAGTGGGTCAAGGACAGGATCAGGTGATCTGCTGCTGTACATGTTGTTCAGTCCTTCCACCACACTAATGGCCGGAACAGTCTCAGTGGAGGGGCATCACTGTCATGTCGAGGGCTTGGGAGCAGAATTCTTTCCCCACTAGGGATCTCGTCGCTGCCCAGCTGTGATACTTGGCCTGGGTGTGGAGGAGTGGTTACATTTTCTGTAATATTTGTATGAATCCTCTGCATGCCTCAGTTCCCCACTGTGCTTTGCATTGCTACCCAGTGGATGTGAAAGGATGAACACCAGTGCTGGAATAGTGCGGGGGGGAGGGGGGGCATGAGGTGTGTGTGCGTCCCCTATCCTAGCTGTCTGGGTGGAATGACTGGGTCACTACAGAGCTGGTTGAGAACAACGCAGATCAATAGAGGATCCAGAGATAATGAGTCCCCGTCCCCCCCCCCCCCCCACTGACTGAACGATCGACACAAGAAACCCTAGGAGGCAGGACATGTGACCTCAGCTGGAGAACAGACGGGCAAAAGTGTCAGGCAGCTGGAGTAAGAGCTGTCCTTTGGAGGCACCCAGCAGTTCACACCTGGGACTAAGGCCAAAGAGCCAGATGGAGCTGATAGCAGCCTTCATTGCACTGGCTTGGCCAGGATGGACTATATTGAACCTTTGCCTCTCTGTGATAACCTAAGGACTGTCAGCGTCTGCAGCCAGGTCACGAATACATTCTCACCTTGTTTTGGAAAGGCTGCCACTGCCAATTCACACTGAGAGCATTGTGCCCTGAAGGGGCCCAGGACAAGCCTCAGCTGCATTCACTGCAGGGAGCCAGAGGGAGAAACAGGGTTTGCTGGGGCCTGAAGGCCCAGTCTTGGTGGCCAGGGGCCTGCCCCTGCAGAAACATCTGTGTCCTTGAGATCCGGCACACTAAAGGGGTCATTTGCAAGGTACTGGTTACTGACTGGGGCATAGACCAGACCCTGTGAATCCACGACACTTGGCCTGGGTGCTGGGTTTTGGCCCTTGATAATTCTGTATAATAATTCTAATTTTAAAGAAAAAGAAATTCACACACCAAGAACTTTGTGAACAATAGGTTAAGGATGCTACATAACATTGCCCATTACAGAGACTACATATCACGAAAGATGCCATTAATAAAATCTAAGGGTTAAAGTAGAGAAATGAGAAATGCTGTATATACCCTTACGGGAAACATATTGGCATTAGGAAAAAATGCATGAAGATCCACCTTCGACATTTCAAGAACAATCTTAACCCTCTCCCTCCCTCCCATGCCATAGCAGATGTGGCAGTGACTGCTGTAATTTAGTGGCTTGAATGTTTCCATTCTCACCTATTTTCACTTCTCAGGATCCTGTCCAGTCTCTGGCCCTTTGGGCGGTTTCCCAGGTGTGGTCTCTACCTGAAGCGGACTCCTTGTTAGCAACGGTCCCTGGGGCGTTTGTGGGTAGAGGCGGCTGGAGCAAAGCTCACACCTTTTCTTTGTGGAAAACCCTCTTTTACCTGCTCTGCACCCGGGAGGGTGGGAGAGGGGTGATCTGGGGGGAACGGGCCGGCATGCTTCTTGGGGACAGGGTCTCTATGCAGGATGCGGCTGAGCTGGTCAAGGGCCCGGCTAAATGATGCATCCAGGGTAGGGTGCAAAGGGCTGGGGGATAGGGTTACCATTTTTTAAAATAACAAAAAGAGGACACTCCAAGGGGCCCCGCCCCTTCCCCACCCTGGCCCCACCCAACTCCACCCCTTTCCCAAAGTCCCTGCCCCAACTCCACCCCTCCCCTGAACGCTCCGCCCCCCTGCTCCGCCCCCTCCCCTGCTTCCCGCGAATCAAATGTTCGCGGGAAGCCTGAAACAGGGAGGCAGGCAGCAGGTAAGCTGGGGTGGGGGGGCGCGAGGAGGAGGCGCGGCCCAGTCCGGCCCCCTGGCCGAGCGGCTCGGGCCCCGGGGGGGCCAGCCCCAGTTCCAGCCAAGTGTGCCAGCTCCGGCCCCGGCGGTTCCAGCTTGGCTCGGGCCCTGGGGCACCGGCCGAGTGTCTCTGGCCCCGGCGGCTCCGGCCCGGCTCGGGCTCTGGGGCGCCGGTTCCGGTGGAGCGCGCCGGCCCTGACCCGCCCCGGCCCCGGCGGCTCCAGCTCGGCTCAGGACACGGGCACCGGCCGAGCGGCTCCGGCCCCGGTGGCTCCAGCTCGGCTCGGGACACGGGCACCGGCCCCAGCCAAGCGGCTCCGGTCCCGGGGCACCAGCCGAGTGGCTCCGGCCCTGGCGACTCCAGCTCGGATCGGGCCCTGGGGCACCGGCTGAGCGGCGCCGGCCGGTGGCCAAGCACCGCTGGCCCCAGCGGCTCCGGCTCCGATGTGGATCCAAGCCCCACGACCCCTCCCTATTTTCCCGGACATGTCCGGCTTTTTGGAATTCCCCCCCGGACGGGGATTTGATGACCAAAAAGCCAGACATGTCCGGGAAAATCCGGACGCATGGTAACCCTACTGGGGGACAGGGCCTGCAATGGCACGTTCCCGAGTCTGCAACTGACCTTCCAAACATGGCGCCCAGCATTGGCACTCTCCCTCCATAACTGCCCTTTTCAACATGGCGCCCACCCCTTCCACGCCCCGCTGCGATTGCCCTTCCCAATATGGTGGCCGCATTCGTACTCTTCAGTGACCTTTCTAATATGGCGCCCTTCCTTGCCCTCATGCTCGACCAACATTTGCCTTTCTCAACGTGACAGCAACACCCTTTCCTGTGAGAAAACTGCCCTTCCAAATATGGCGCCCAGCCTGCCCTTCTTTCGTTGACCTTCCAATCATGGCGCCTGTCCTTTTTCATTTGTGTCCCTGCTGGGACTGCCCTTTATGGCTACTCGTTTTCTCCCTGCCACTGCCCTTCCCAATACGGTGCCAGTTTGGTTAAACCTTCCTACAGGCCTGTTTCCCAGCTGTGTAACCTCCCCAATATGGCCCCCAGACTGCTCCCCTTTGCGTGACCTTCTCAGTATGGCGCCTTTCCCGTCCCTCTTCTCACGTGACCTTCTGAACCCGATTTCCGCCGCTCCCATGTCACGTGACCTGGCCGGCGCGCGCCTGCGCGCTGCGCTCCCCCTCCCGGCTGGACTGGAGCGGTGGTGGCTGCGATGCTGCCGAGCGGAGTGAAGATGGCGGCGGCCGAGGGCGGCTCGGGCTCCCGGTGCCCGCTGCTCTGAGGGGGGTTGGGCAGCGCGGCTGCGGAGCAGGGGGACGGGCCCCGGCTCCCGCCTTTACCCGGGCCCTGCAGGGAGCGAGGCGGCGGCGGGGAGGTGAGTCCCGCCGGGGGGGCGGGGCGCCGGCCCGGGACGTGGGGGAGGGGGCCCGGCCGGGGGGCGACTGGCGGGGCCCGAGAGCCAGTGCGGGAGGGAGGTGCCCCCCGGGGCTGCGGATGGGAGGGGGTAGGGTCCCCACGACGGTGAACCCCCCAACTGTGTGGTGGGGGGAGGGGATAGGCTCTCTAGAGCGGGGGCCCCCCCATGTGTGTAAGGGGGGCTGGGAAGCCGCCCCTGGGGCCTTGAGCAGGGAGGTAATTCCTAAACTTGGGGTGGGGGGAAGGGAAGGAAGAGAAGCTCTGCTTGGGGGGGGGCTGGGGTGGGAAGAACCCCTAAGCTCCCGGCCCCCAAACCAGGCTTTGATTTAGGGGAGTGGAAACCTGGAGCAGACGTGTCCTCTCCGCGCCTGGGGGGTGGGGAGGGGTCTGAGGCGTTATGTGCCTCCTACTGCCCCCGACGGGGGGGATGGGGGGGCTTGCAGCCTCTCAGCAGGGCTCAGAGAGAGGAGGTGATTGTGGAAGCACCTGCAATGTTCTCTGGTGGTTCCCAAAGAGGAACTAGCTCTGGGGTGTGCTCAGGAAAGACCTGTTCTGCTCTGGTGTGAAGGTGCCTGCTTTTAGGGAGGGAGGTCTGGAAGGGGGGATTAAACAGCAAATCCGGGGACAAGAGTTGGAGACACTGCTCATCCCATTTGTTAGAGAAGAGTTTGAGTTCTCTGTGTCTAACGAAAGCTGTTTATTTTTGCTGTCTTTGATACAATGCTGATGAGGGAGTTAGTTACACTCCAGATTACACACCGCAGCTCCTGCCAAAACCTGGTCAGTCAAGAGTAGTCTACATATAAGGCATGATTCTTTAAGTTTCTATTTTGATTGCTATGCTGAAGGGGAGGATGGTTCTGCTCCATCATAGCATAGTGCTTGTGTGAGGAACAATTGCGCTAAGATTCCCATTTGCTTTCTTTTTATTACTCACTAAATACTAACTTCTGAGAGGATGTCGCAACTTCACCATTTTAGGAATAAGGAAAAAGCTTGTTCCTCTTCTCAGTATATTCATTGTCTGGGATATCGTTAGCGAGAGCACATTCTGAGAACAGGGATTTCTTCCAATACATTCTGTTTTTGTGAAGGGCATTAAACCCTGATTGTACTAATGTCTTGGGACAGCCAAAGCTGTCATAAAATTGGGATTTCCTTAAAAAACACAAACTTCAGCAGTGCAGCACTAAGCATGAATTTCAGGTAACACAGATCCAGACAATCAGGATTGAGAAAACTTGTGTTCACTTGTAATCTTTTTCATAACAAGGCTGGTGTTATAATGAAGCCGCCAGTAGAAATGGCATTTTATATGTATAAAAATAAAGATGAGTCCAAAGAAAATATTTCGGATCCCTGGAGAACTTGGTGGTGAATTCAGAATCTAAACTAGGCTCTGCATTTTGTGCCTTGGGTCTCTGTGGTAATATATATGTTGGATTTAGGAAGCTTACATTGTGTTAATGCTAGTGGTGAACTGACACCAAGTTGGGGGGAAGAGAGAGGGGTGTAACGCAACTCCCATCTTTTCATGTACTGTGTATTTATACCTGCCTACTGTATTTTCCACTCCATGCATCTAATGAAGTGGGTTTTAGCCCACGAAAGCTTATGCCCAAATAAATTCCTTGTCTCTAAGGTGCCCCAAGGACTTTTCATTGTTTTTGCTGATACAGACTAACCCGGCAACCCCTCTGAAACCTATAACGTAAACAGCAAGAGATGGTAGCATGGGTATTACTTTACATTATCCACCTTCTCTGGCTTTCTTCTGGGAGGCTGGTTCGCTGGTGATATTAGTGAAGAAGGGCTTTTTGTTAGAACGATGAACTGAATATAGTATTACTTCAGTGGAATTGTCTCAAAATGCATAGCTCTTACGAGGGTTACCTTGTATTGCTGTAAGCAAGACGGAACCAAGCCTCTTTGCCTGATGTATTTTGCACAGTGGAATTTAAGTTTGAAAACCTAACATATTCCATCTCTGAGAGTAGATGTCTTTTTTTCATGGCCTCCGAGGCTGAGAGTGGAACCTTGGCACCTTGCATTCCTGATTTTGTGATCCGATCTCTGCTGTTGGAGGTGTTGGGAAAAGAATGAAAGACATAGGAAGCCTGACTGTATTGAAATGTGTGTGTCTGTAGTATATGGTATCCGTTTGTTGTAACTATTTCCTGCTTATAAACTAGACCAATTGTGGGACTTCTGTTGCGAGGCTTGCTTAATGCCTGTTGATGGGCATATCACTTGCATTAAAATGGTTTCAGTTATAGTGAGAATTGTTTACACTGCAGGCCAATAAATGGTGGAACCTTGCAAAAGAAACACTGTTTATTTGGCTAGAGAAAAAACAGATTTGATCTGGGCATGGTCCTTTCTAAAGGAGTGGTTGATTGCACTTGAGATACCAGTACTAACCTAAATTCTAAACCGAACAGTAGCAGTATTCAGCCTTTAAGAGCCGCCTTGCAATCTAATGGCACCACAGAGCTGGAAAGAATCAGTATACGATGCCCCAGTATTGTGTGCATTATGAAGTCACATCTATATGATGACATTGCGTTGTCATGACAAACTAATGCAACATCACAATACAATGATTATAATCAGGGCATGAAAACCTTATCTGATGTGCTAATCAGAAGACTAAACCTGTTAGCTAGATGCCATGGTTCAGGGACAGTATTTTGATGAGAAGCGATATCCTAACCCAGCTTCTGGGGAGGGAAGGATGCTGGGATTCTTACTAGGGTTTTGTCCCTGCACCTTACTTGGGGAAGGATAGGGACCTCTTTCTTAAGAAGAGATTACATTGTTGCATATAGTAGTGATAGTTTTCAGTGCTGTGTGCACCATTTCTCTTTCATACGCTCTAACGGCAGCAGGTATCATAGTAAAACAAACTGAGCTTTCTATCATCCGTCTTCACTGTCTCTCGATAAATAAACTCTCTTGCTAGCACTCAAATGGTCAACTTCAAGAATGGATTTTTCCATTCTCAAAATTCAAGAAAGTTGTAAAAGAACCTTTTTAAAGAATGAGGCTCATGTGCAAAGTGGACACACACATTGTAGCTGTGGTTAAAATACAATATCTCAGATCATTCATTGGTAGTAAGTATCAGGGGGTAGCCGTGTTAGTCTGTATCTACAAAAACAACAAGGAGTCTGGTGGCACCTTAAAGACTTACTTGGGCATAAGCTTTCGTGGGTAAAAACCTCACTTCTTTGGATGCATTGGTAGTAAGGAGCTTGGATTAAATTTTACTTGGAGGATTTGTGGTAATTGGTATTAGAGGATACTACTTCCCCTATTTTTGTTTGAAGTGGGGCATTTGTTTCTGTTTTTTGCTGGTGAGGTGCATTTGGCAGTCCTTTCGTTAGAATATTAAAACAGTCTGGCTCTGTGTTTAGTTTTAGAGTTTCTTTCCATATGTTTAATGGAAAGAGTGACACGAACTGTAGTTGGCAGCGGGCAAGGTACACATTTCGTGTGGAGAGAGGAGGCTTATTATCAGCTCATTCCCAGACTATGAATGTTTTTTTTTTAATGTGTGTGTTCAAAACTTCAATAAATTTAAATTGTACTTTAGTCAGCTGAGATAATTGCCAATTTTTGCTGCTTCCACAGCTTGTGACCTAGGGTTGCTTACCAAGGTTACCAGTCTATATAAACACACCTTTGTGGCAGTGTGAAGTTTTCCCCCCTGTATTTGGTTATTAGAGAAATTTGTCAGAAGATATTGATTCATGTCTCTAACAAATTTATAAAAAGAACAGGAGTACTTTTTGCGGATACAGACTAACACGGCTGCTACTCTGAAACCTAACAAATTTATGACATTAATAAACACTGATGAATTTCATAGTCCCATTGGCTTTTAAAAGACAACATCTTTCTGATATTGGACATGGGCTTAAGAAAACAAAGTTTGGCATATTGTCTCAAATAGCTGAATTTAAATTTCCTTTCCAAAATACTTACGTCTAGCCCAGTGAGACATCTGTATTGTTGTTAAAGTGGCAATACTGGGCTTGGTATTGTGCAAGATGCAGAAAATATTGTCGCTGCCCATAGGAGTTTACAATCTAAAGTGCCATGAATGTCCTAGAGCTTCAGTTCATTCCCATTAGATTGTTTTGTGGTATGTCCTCTTCCCTAGTTTGCTAGAAACCATTGATATTTGTGTGCTCCTCTAGCATGGAGATGGACACCACCCAAATGCCTGTAAATACAAATTTGAATTTACCTCCCATCTAATGTGAATTGAAGTATGATTTATACTCCAACAGTCTGTATTGCTTCACATGACTTGGATGCATTTTAAAATGTTTGTCTGGTTTATTTTGTCCTGTGAAGTTCCTGAGTTCCACAGTGGACTGGGCATTCATTAGTTTTAGGTTCTTAATGTTACCTGAATTAATTTTTGCTTGCTTGTGCTATGTCTGTAACTGTACCCCCTCTGGCCGTGATCTTGTCAGATCTAGTAAGATCAGTAGTGTTAATCTGGTCATTACTTTGACGAGGGGCTTCTAAGGACAGCCCAGAGTTCTGCAGGAAATGGTGTTGGACTCAGAGAGGAAGGTGTTACCTAGTGAGTCAGGACTGAACCAGTGCCATAGCATGATGTGTGGAGGTACTGTGCTGATTGTGTACTGGAAGAGATGTAAAAGCAAGGTCTTGCTGTGAAAGACAGTCATTTTTCACAGCGGTAAGGATATACACCTTGATGTCTTGGCAAAATTCAAATTTGGTAGGTGTACATTCTGCCTAATTAAAATACCCTCTGTGGATTGAAAAAATATTAATTTTGCTGGCACAGAAAGGATATACTGTCTTAGAGGTGGATGCATTTCATTACATATGTTCACCCACCTACTACAATTCAAAGTGATTTGGGATCCTTCAGGATAAAAGCCACTGCATAAGCATAAAGTTTCTCTATGAAAGGTAGGG